CAATAATTCAATAACGTGCTTTAACCACTAGGCGGTGCACACAAGGTACACACAGCCATAATAACTTTGTATTATTAGTGTAGGACACTTTTGTTTTCGTACAACATCTGAAAATGTGTAGTTTTATGCATGCTTTCACATAATTTTACAGCATATTGCTATACTATTTCAGACTCAGTATTTACATTATTACATTCAAAGAAAATCAGTAATATCTTTAAAAACTACAGTCCTTTTATATCAGCTGTGCACCGTTATGGTATAAATATAACCTATCTGTGAATTAGATCAAATGTAAAAGTCAGCCGAATTAGTGTTGATACTGCAAGGAGACGTATTGTGTGAAGAGAAATTGAAGATGTTGTTTAATTGTTGAATATATTTATGATCCACGTCAAGTATTCAGTTTCGGCGGCATTTTCTCAGTTTTTCCAAAGGTCTTCTCATCAGGGCTCTATAAATAAATAACTACGGCAGATCTGTAATATACAATGCAGCCGAACCGTGTATTACAATGCCGTTATGTGATGACTTTCAAAGAGAAAAGCAAGAGCGCTCGGAATTAAGTATTATTTTATTCTTTTAAAAATGTTTTCCGGATTTCATATCATATAAACACCAAATCCCAGCATGCATTGCGGCTAAAACATCCAATAAACGAGCTTAAAACCATAGCTGAGGATCTTGGGTAATCGCTCGAAATGCCTACGTCTGTTTCCGGTTATTTTTATTTTGAAATTCAGTTCCTGACGGACGCCAAAAAAGCCCGAGATTATGGAATTAAACCAATAAATAAAAGCAAGGATAATTGTGTGTTATTGGTGAGTAAATAACAGTGTGTTATTTTGAAAAGAATAACAAATTAGAAGGAAAAAAAGAATTAAAAAATACAGATTTCAGTATCCTGAGGCTCTGAGCCCCATTTATTTTCCTCACAGACGGCAACAAAAGTCCGAAATTATACGATTTCAAATAAAAGCAATAACTGTGGCTTGATATTGAGTAAGAACATGTTTTTATGAACCACACAGCTTCCGGTCTTCCTCGACCAGACCGGAGAAAAAGACGTGCTGCAGGCAGTAGAAATACATTGCTTTTAAAATCGTGCTGTGCAACACGAAAACAAGGGGCAAATCGTGTTGGTGAACATGAATCAATAGATTAAAAATCGTGTTGGTGAACACGAAATGCCGTGAGACTGGGTTGTATATTTATGTATAAAAGACATCACAAAGTGCATTTTGCATGATAGGTCCCCTATAATGTATATTTTCTTGTGTCTGACACGTTGTGAGAATTAACGTGCATATATATTTACTTGTGTGCGCGAGTGTGACACGCATTGCAGTTAAGCAAGTTTACCTTGACTTTCTAATGCTTCTAATGCCATTGTTGCCGAGGTTCAAGGCATTGGCTACAGAGAAACAGTGCAATTTCTCCCACTAGTTCAAGCCATCATACTGAATGCATGTATTGAATGTGTGTGTGTGTATACAGGGGCGCCGTTTACCGACAGGCAAGTGCTTGGACCAGAAGGGGGCCCCCAAATAATTTATATAGCACTTTAAAACCTCCAGACCAAAGTGCTGTACAGATAGATACATAAAATATAAAATCACACAGCTCAGCTCACAAAACATTAAATAAATAAATACATTTAAAATAAAAGATACAAACACAAAACTAGGGTTGGGAACCGAAACTCAGTTCCAGATGAGAACCGATAAGAAAATGCCGGGTACCGGGTACCCATACAAAATACACAATTTCGGTTTCGGCTTAACGGTTCCTAGACGCGGTAGACCCTGTATTCCACCGGGTCCGTCTGCGCCGCGGGTCCGGCGCGGCGGTGACCCGGTGGAATACATCCAGGGTAGGGGCGGACTGGCCATCTGTGTGTTCTGGAGAATCACAGAACGGCCGGTCGTTAGCGGGCCGTTGACGGTCGGCACCGCCCTTAATTTTTTAAAACGGCATCATGTAAGTTGACACAGTGTAATGCCTGTTAATAGCTTGCCACAGGCACAGCTCAGTTAAAATAAAGCACAGCTATTGTGCAATACATTTGTATTGCATGTATATTTTTTATTTGCAAAAATGTCAGTTAAAGCTTAAGAATAAAGATATGTTTGTTATCTAAACGTTTGACCTCTTTCTTTTACAATTTCAGAATCGAAACGGGGAATCGAGCAGAACAGGAATCGGAATCGATACATTTCAAACGATACCCATCCTTACACAAAACAAACCAGAATAAACGTTGTTTTTTTAAAAAACATAAAAAAAGATTAAGAAGGTCCACAGCAACACAACAGGAAACACCCTTTAATTCACTGCAACGACATGTCGGGAAACCCCCTCAAGGGGGCCCCATGCATAGCGCGCCGAAACTGCTTCTTAATTTCAGTTTCGTTGCTCCGCTCCGGGGGGACTATTGACCTTGTATAAAATTCATAAGTGGACCTTTAACAAAAAAGTTTGAGTACCCCTGATCTAGAGTATGTGTGTGGGTGTGGGTGTTTGTGTGTGTGTTTTATCTGATCCGGATCGTTACTAATTCATTTTCTTTATGGCGGTCATTTTTGACCGGGAACACCATGGGTGTTACAAAGTTGACTAAATCATTCAAAATGCAATGAAAGTGCAGATCAGCAATTTGATATGTTCAAATGTCTACTGTGAAGGATATCATAAAGCCTTAATGCAATCGAATGTAAAACTGAAAAGTTATGATTGATGAAAGACAACAGGAGGGTTAATGTCACTCAAAATAAAAGTACTTATAAAGCAGAAGTGTAATATTACATTACATTACATTGCATTTAGCTGACGCTTTTATCCAAAGCGACTTACAATAAGTGCGTTCGACCAACAAAATACAAACTTGAAGAAAACAGAATCATATAAGTACATCAGTTTCATAGAGCAAAAACATTTCAAGTGCTACTCAACTGGCTTTAGATAAGCCAGCCCTTTATTAGTATATAAGTGCTTTGTTAATAGTCTGCGCCGGAAGGTGTGTAAGCTATCTGCTGTCCTGATGTGAATGGGGAGCTCATTCCACCATTTTGGAGCCAGGATAGCAAACCCACATGTTTTTGCTGATGGGAACTTGGGTCCCCTTCGCAGCGAGGGTGCAGCGAGCCGTTTGGTTGATGCAGAACGGAGTGCACGTGCTGGGGTGTACGGTTTAACCATGTCCTGGATGTAGGAAGGGCCAGATCCATTCACAGCATGGTACGCAAGTACCATTGTCTTGAAGTGGATTCTAGCAGTTACCGGAAGCCAGTGGAGGGAGCGGAGGAGCGGCGTGGTGTGGGAGAATGTAGGAAGGTTGAAGACCAGACGAGCAGCTGCATTCTGGATGAGCTGCAGAGGTCGGATGGCACATGCAGGTAGACCAGCCAGGAGGGAGTTGCAGTAGTCTAGGCGTGAGATGACGAGAGCCTGGACCAGAACCTGCGTCGCTTTCTGGGTCAGCTGGGGACGTATACTCCTAATGTTGTAAAGCGTGTATCTGCAGCAACGGGTTGTAGCAGCTATGTTTGCAGTGAAGGACAGGTTGTTATCTAGGATCACACCCAGATTCCTTGCAGTCTGAGTCGGGGAAACAACAGAGGTGCCGATGTTGATTGTGAGGTCAAGAGTGGGACAATCTTTTCCCGGAAGGAAGAGCAGTTCAGTCTTGTCAAGGTTGAGCTTGAGGTGATGAGCAGACATCCACTGAGAGATAGCGTCAGCTAGACAAGCAGAGATGCGTGCAACGACCTGGGTCTCTGAGCGGGGAAAGGACAGGATTAATTGGGTGTCGTCAGCGTAGCAGTGAAAAACCATGCGGGCTAATGACAGATCTGAGCGAGTTTGTGTACAAGGAGAAGAGGAGGGGACCAAGAACAGAGCCCTGAGGGACCCCTGTAGTTAATTGACAAGGGTCGGACTCCGACCCTCTCCAAGTAACCCTGTAGGTGCGGTCTTTGAGGTATGAGGTGATGAGGGAAAGTGCAGAGCCTGAAACTCCAAGTTCTTGGAGAGTGCGAAGGAGGATCTGATGATTCACCGTGTCGAATGCAGCAGACAGGTCCAAAAGGATGATGACAGAGGAGAGGGAGGCTGCTTTAGCAGTGTGCAGTTCCTCAGTGACAGCAAGGAGGGCAGTTTCTGTAGAGTTACCTGCCTTGAAACCAGACTGGTGCGGATCCAGAAGGTTGTTCTGATGGAGATAGTTGTTTAAAGACAGCACGTTCAAGTGTTTTAGACAGGAACGGGAGGAGAGAGACAGGCCTGTAGTTTATAACATCAGACGGGTTGAGAGTGGGTTTCTTTAGGAGAGGGTTTACTCTTGCCTCCTTGAGACTGTTTGGAAAGTGACCAGAAGTTAGAGAAGTATTGATGAAATGGGTGAGAAACGGTAGAATATCAGGAGCGATAGTCTGAAGGAGGTTTGAAGGGATAGGGTCCAGAGGACAGGTGGTAGGGCGGGCATAGGTAATGAGGGTAAGAACCTCACTTGGAGAGAGAGGGGAAATATTATTGTGTATTGAGTATTGTGCGTGGGTATTTATGATTATTTATAGCTCAGGGTAGATTACAAGTTTAGTGCTGCAGATTGTAGCATTTCCAGTAACCGGAACTTATGGAATGTAACTTATACTATAAATGGTAAACACATAAACGTAAAATTACGTTTATGTGTTTACCATTTATAGTTAGTTATAAGTTACATTATTTTACCACTGCTTTCATACCTGTTTCCCAATAGAATGCAAACCTTGTATTTTTTTATTTTTTATTTTGTTGATAGGTGATGATGAAGAGGATTGTGTTAATGCTCTGTATGATCTTAACATGCAGAGCTCGGAAGCAGGAAACCTCACGTTGGGACTCTAAAGGTCAGGAAGAATCTGTGGTCAATTTAGGTTTTCCTCAATTTGTGTATCCTAAATAAAGTATTGTTTAAAAAAAAACCCACTCAAATTAAGATTCTGTTTGGAAAGATCAGGATGAATATTATCTCCTCCTCTACATTTCTGTCTTCAGCAGGACACACCAATGGCAAGACTTGCTCCAATTTGACCCAGGTACTGGACAACTGGAAATATGCCATTTTAACCCAAGTGAAAGATCTGCTGATCAATGACCACGCTTCAGTCCTGCCTGAATACAACAGGTGGGACACAGCAGCTTCTCACTTTAAATTGTATTGCTGGTATGCTCAAACAAGATCAAGAAGAGAACATGTTGAGTGAGAATAACAACAGCCAGTGATGTCAGTGTGCTTTTAATGGTTTGCAATTGTGGGTAATAATAAATGATATAACTTGCTTTGCTCTGCGCATGACAACTGAACTATCAGAGCAAGTAAGTGATCCCATCCACACAAAGCCAACTCAACTTTGTAAATGACCTCACTATGGAGAATGTGCCAATGGGAAATGTTTCAGCTGAAAATGTTCTTTGTATTGTGTAATATTGTGTTCTGATAAGTTCAGTGTTTTGGCTCTGGGACATGATACTAACAACTAGTAGCGGACATTCCTCATCAACCATATCAGATGCAGTGCTTACTGCACGTGAACTTTCCTAAACTATATTTTCAGATTCTTTAAAAGGGACTTCCGTTCTTTATGTCTGCTATCCTGATGTTTCTGCATGTGGTGGGGCTGCTCCTGCTTAACAACATGTTGTGACTTTATGTTCATGAGCTCTTGTCTTGGTTATGTATTGCAAGTAAACAATGTTCCTATTTCAGCTCATGAACACATTGCCAAAGCTCATTCAAATAATGAAATCATTTGCTCTCTTGTACTTTCCTAAATGCCTCTACATGTGTCCAGGATCCAGCCTCTGTCCGAGGCCCTGGGAGACCTCTACAGGCAGTTCAACTCTCTGAAAGACGAGCTGGGTAGACTCACCTCAAAGTTTGACAGTGTGGAGGGTTTTGTGGACGACCTCAAGCAGGGCAGGTTTGCTCTGCCTCAGCGTCTCGTACAGAGGGTTCCCCCCGGTGTCGGACTGAGATCTCCACTGCGAGCACAGAGGAGGCCTCCTTACAGGGGGACGGTCCAGGAGCCCACCCTTGTCAGAGCGAGGAGAAGAGGGCCACAGAGACCTTAGACCCTTCAGTGTGGATGTTTCACAATAAATCATATCTTTTATATATTCTTCACATAAGGAGATGATACGTTCGTATAATATAAAGACTTGCTCTTGTGATGTATGTGTAGAAAAATATATTTTAATTAATTAAACATATATGACCTTTCCCGACAAAGTCACTTTTAACCACCAGATGGCAGCATTCACTCACATTATATTAGCTGTCATTATTGTATTAATAACTGGACAGAAAGAACATGATGCCTACAAATGTAATCTAAAGTTGTGATATGATACTGTATAATCGCGTACGAATAATTATTTGATTATGATTGTTTGTATTTACCCACATTATTATTAAAAATAGATTAATTTGCAACATGGTTTGACTTGACTTGCTACTTTGTAAAAGGACATAAAGGACTTATTTAGCATTTACATTTTTCTCTTTGACTCTAGTTGTATAAAGCATTGTGTCATGTATTCATACTCACAGTCCAGTGTTGTGGAAGTTGCCATGCAAGATGCTGGCCCAACCTCTGGAAATCATTTGTTCTTTATCACTTTTAAGGCCACATGTTGCGCTGAAGAGATGTGTCAGCTGTAGCCAATATGAAGTTCCTGAAAGTTAGGCCATATGGCTTTTATTTGTTTTCCTCTCTGTAGCCTGTTTATCCTACCTATTCTAAAATGAGTTCTAAATGGACCAAAGTATAATCAAGATTCAAGGTTATTTCTGACAAGATGATGACCTTTGAAGAGCAAAACAGTTCCTCTGTTCATCGTTACTTTGAACTTCACTTTTCAAAAGGCAGTGATGAAAATATTAAGTTCAGGTATTTTTTACATCATTTAGATTTGTCTTTTATTTTGGATGCTGCAAGAATTTACAGATGAACACTGAGAGCTAATTACAATCCATTATGAAGATTTCATAACAAAACCTCTGGTTTTAGCCAGACTGTTTTCTTTTTAATTAAAAAGTTAACTTAATGCAAAACTTTACGGATCTGATAAAAATCAGCTACTGAGTTTTCATGCTCCGTCAATCAAGCATCACCTCTCTACTCCTCCCTCTCTTCCGTCCCAGGATGCACCTGTAGGCCTCGTCTCCTTATTTATAGCTCCATGTAAATGAAGAGGTCAGGTCTCAGCTCTGTGTAAAGTAGTGAAACTTCTCTAACTGAAATACATTGATAGTTTCATTGTTAACGTTTGATTATTCACAGTTTACTTCTAAATGTGCAGTCAGTTTAGTTTAAGATCCTGTAGCAGATGTATGTTGTTGACTCATTATATAAACGTTTAAAATAATGTATAAATCCCATCTTTACTAACCAATTAAAGACATGTATTTAAACTGTTATTTTTGTACATTGCGTTAATGTGTGCATATCCCAAAATGTGGCCTAAGCTACATCATTGTACTTCAAGATTTCAATATTAATGAAATTAATGAATTAAACTATTTTCCCTCCACAAAAGATAAGTAATACATCAATAGTGAAAACTATGCAGATTGGCCCAAAGCTCCTCCTCCTGTCAGCCACTCAGTTTCAGTGTTCAAGTATTAAATGGCTCCTCCAGCTCCTCCTCTCCTCATCCTCCAAACCCTCTCCTCTGTCAGCAGTGAGCTCACTTTCTTAGTTCCAAGGCCCTCCTCACACACTGACACCATGCTGGGGACCCTCTGCACTCTCATCACTGCTCTAACATGTAAGCAGGCTGACTGACTGCAGCTCTGACCTCATGTTGGATTCATCAGTCTGTGTGTTTCTCTTGACTCCATGTCCTCTTGTTGTTTCCAGGTGTGAGTGGTGTGACGGTGGTGACACAGAAGCCTGTAGTGACGGTGAGGAAAGGAGAGACAGCCTCCATGGACTGTAACCTGGGGACTGTTACTGACCATTATGCTTACTGGTATAAACAGATTCCTGGAGGAGCTCCTCAGTATGTACTGAGGTTTTATCACGGCAATAGCGCTCCAACATATGGCTCTGGCTTCTCCTCTCCAAAGTTCACATCTGCTCATCAGTCTACATCAGATTATCGTTTGATCATCAGCAATGTGGAGGAGGGAGACTCAGCAGTCTATCACTGTAAAACATGGGAGGACTCTGCTAAAGAGTACGTATCACAGTGATTTACACCGTGACAAAAACCTCCTCACAAGAACTTCTGCTTTTTCAGTCTCTGACACATCTGATAACAGAGCCTTCAAACAACTCAGTGTCTCATACCATGTGCAATAACCTGTTTATAATAGTAAAGGATTTTATTGGATTCATTTACAAAACAATTTATAAATGTATTCATACCTTTAATACATGCTTTAATTATTAAAATATGAATAAATAAATATGCCATCCAGCATCATCCATAATATCTGAAAAATAATTCAGGCTTTTAAAGCTGCTTTGTCTTTCCAAGTAATATTTTATACTAATTTGAAATGTACAGAATCTGGGATTAATACACAAGATACAGTAACAGTGACAGGACTTGAATGAATCCTGTTTCCTGAGGCCCTGAAGAAACCTGACATACAATATTGAAAAACTAACATTACTACATGCACATCAGGAACTCTTTGCAATATTAAACAAGGCAAAACAGATTCTTGATAAAAATTCCCTCTACATTCTTTACTGTTCATTGGTGTTACCTTATTTAAGTTACTGTGCAGAGGTTTGGGGCAGTAATTATAAAACTACAACACAATCCCTGTTTATTTTACAAAAAAGAGCAATAAGACTTATTACAAATGTCGGCTATAGGGATCATACAAACCCATTATTCTTAGAGCTAAAATTATTAAAACTGTCAGATCTTGTTGAATTCCAAATTGCACAAATCCTGTTTAAGGCAAAAAACGTTCAATTACCTGGGAATATTCATAAACTGTTCAATGAAAGACAAGGGAATTATAATTTACGTGGTTCATTTATATTCACTAATGTTAGGGTGCGCACAACAAAGAGAAGTTTTTGTGTTTCTGTTTGTGGGGTGAAGATCTGGAACAATTTGAGTGAGGAGCTAAAGGGATGTCCAAACATCAAACTATTTAAAAAGAGGTATAAAGACACCATTCTCACAAGGTACAGGGAGGAAACTGCTAAACCATAACTGTTATGTTCTTGTTTTGTATTCAATTTATGAATTTATGTTTATGAATTTGTGTATACATATGTGTATATATATACTTATGAATATATAGAGACAATTCTCTTAACTTGCCTGTATATATTATATGAATGATTATATGAATTATTCAGGTTTAGGGTATTCATTTATATTGTATGTTAACGTATATTAAGATGTAAAAAAAAAAGTAAAAACAAAAGGGAGAAGGGGTCGGATTAAATAAGTGTAAACTTCTTCCGACCCCTTTTCGGACGTGTAATTAGCTAAAGTTTTTTTTTTTTTTTGTATTGTTATCAGATTTTTTTTGTATACTACAGATTATTCAATTATTATTTAAATATTTCGTTTGGTTATTGCATTCATTTGTATAGTACTGTATCATGTCTGTATCATCTTTTGTTTCATTTGTATTTTCTTTGGTTTTACATGCTCGAAAAAAAAAAAATAAAAATAAAAAATAGATGCAGACAATCAATAAACTAAATATATTTTAAATCAGTTTGTATAATTAGGTAAAATGTTTGTTTGTAGGGATTAACATTGAAACATTTGAAGATACAATCTTTTTCCATTCTGTTACGTTCACAAATAAACATGGAAACGAAGACAAATATGAACTTTATATGATTATTAGACGATGAATTAAAATGGAGATTAAATCAGAAACTCCATCTGGTGGAAGTTAATCATGCAGAGGACATCAAAAGAGATCCAAAACCTGTCTGCTTAAATCATAAAAAATAAATGAGAAATTGCTCCTGTAATTATAAAGTGTAAATCACATACAACACTTTAGTTTGTCAGTGAATGAAAGCATGCTGCTGAGTGTAGAAACTCCTCCTCCTGCACTTCTCCTCTCTCAGTGTGTTTATAAGCTTCAGTCTCTCTTCTCCTCTCACTCTGCTCACCTCTCAGCTGGACATTAAGGGACGTTTACAGCACACACTGACACCATGCTGGGGACCCTCTGCACTCTCATCATTGCTCTGACATGTAAGATATTCTTATCATTCTTTTTATAGCCCATATTTTCACACATACACCTCTCACTCATGTCTGTTCCTCTGTATGTTGACAGGTGTTGATGCAATGATAGTGCTGACTCAGACGCCTGCTGTCCACACAGTCTCTACAGGACGAGAGGTTGTTTTCAACTGCAACGTGGAGAGAGATTTTAGTAAATCGTGTTAGTTGGTATAAACAGGTTCCTGGAGAAGCTCCTCGATATGTCCTTAGATTTCACCATAGTAGCAGTTCACCAGACTTTGGATCAGGATTCTCTTCAGACAGATTCAACTCTAAAGCCTCATCAACAATAGATTATCAGTTCATCATTAAGCAGGCAGAGGCAGGAGACTCTGCTCAGTATTACTGTGCGACGTATCACTAGGCCACCAGACCGCCCAGGAGCACAGCAGAGGACCAGGAAGGGATCTCGGGCGGACGGCCCGGGGGCAAGGCAGAGTTCAAGGAGGGGTTCTCGGGCGGACGGCCCGGGGGCAAGGCAGAGTTCAAAAAGGGGGATTCGGGCGGACGGCCCGGGGGCAAGGCAGAGTCTAAGGTGGGGGACTCGGGCGGCCGAGCATGAGGGCGAAGGCAGTGGCAGGAAGAGTCAGAGGGCCGGGCTCGAGGACGAGGGCAGCGGCAAGAAGAGTCAGGGGGCCGGGATCGCGGGCGAAGACTGCGGCTCACAGAGGGCCGGGATCGAGGTCGAAGACTGCGGCTCTCAGGGGGCCGGGATCGAGGGCGAAGACTGCGGCTCTCAGGGGGCCGGGCTCGAGGGCGAAGACCGCGTCTCTCAGGGCCCGGGCTCGAGGGCGAAGACCAGAGAGCTCCGGAGGCCGGGCAGGAAGGCGCTGACGGGACAGTGCCGGAGACCGGGCAGGACCCGGTGTCGGAGCTGGTGGGACAGGCCTCTGCAGGATCCCCCACGGAAGAGGACCA